AAAAAAAAAAAAAAAAACGAAACGCATGAATAAGCAAAGGCGCTGGAGTTGCAGTCATAACGGCTGAGCTGAGGCTGTGGATGACCACTTGTAAAAGAAATATACAATTTAAAATAAGAATTAAAAAATGTGAGTTCAAAATAATAATAAAGAAAATTAATAAAAAATAAAAACAAAACTAACAAAAAAATTAAAAAATACGAGATAAATCATAAAAAGTGCAAAAAGCAGCGCCACAGCTGCGCGCGTGCGCAATGGTAACTGTCACACAAATAGCGAAAATTTAAACACAAAAAAAAAAAAAATTGTCGCCTTCGGAATGAGTAAAATATGTTAAAATGCCAGGAATTCAGCAGCAAAAAAGCATAAAAACTTGTAAATTAAACAAAAAATAAAAAGCTTTGCAATGCTGGCAAAGCATGCAATAAAGCGTTTCCTTTGTGTTTGTTGTTGGCTGTTTTGTTGTTTAGTTGTTGTGGCCGCTTGCGCGCCTGTTTGACTGGTGTTAACAGCTACTCCAGCAGCAGCGGCGACTGCACGGCCGGTCATAAGGGGCACGTCACGTCACAAACGCAATGACAGCTTTAGTGTCTAAATTTTCATGGGCAACGCGCGGCAGCAGCTTATGTGTTTCCTTATTTGTTTTCACCGGCCGGCAATTTATTGCATTTTTTTTTTTTGTTGACTTTTGGCCGAAACCGGACAGATGTTGCAACGTTGCGTTGTGAAGAGACACATATTTACTGCCTTGAGTGAGTTTAGCTGAAATAGTTGAGGGAGTAAAATGAAGCGAAAAAAATAAAATAAAATAAAAATACAATACATTTTTTCTTTTAAGTACATAAATTTTAAAACCGATAGTGTTATGCATTTTTTTGTTGACAGTGTTGATTAAAAAAATCAGTTCTCATGATCTCTTGAGGCCAAGTAAGCGGGCTCATATTTGAAAGACTACGAATAGTCTCACTTCGACAGCTAGGGGCGAAACCAAAACTCCTAGATATGGATCGAAATAAAACACGCAAATTTATTAAGGCGACTAACATCAATACCAGCATTCTGCCTGGTTTGTAGGTTTAACAACCGAAATGATTCAATCTCAGTCTGACGAGAGCTAGACAGTGGTGATAAAAGTATCCAGATATAATATTTCCACCTCATTTTACTCTATACAGTTTTGACAAATAATATCCTCCAAGATCTTTAGCTTCACCACGTAAGTGTCAATAGAATAGTGTCCCGTTACTACAACTATCATTGCGGCGACTTCAATCTTGCAGAAGCAAGTAGTTCAGTAGATTTGTTACATTCGACACTGGGCCAGAAAGATTTCGGAACGCAGAAGTACTAACGCCGGCTAAGCTCGCCCGAGGACCATAGCCCAAACGGCAGAACACACGAACACAGAGGAACGCCGGCTCATTCCTATTCTAATGGGATTTGGATACATATGCCCTCTCCTGCAAGATGATTGGCTCTAGTATGATGATACTGTTCGTGAGTGTAATCACTCCTTGACTAGCTTTAAGCTCACTGTCAACAACTGCACCGCCTCTACTTGTATGGTGGCTCTGCTGTTACATTCTTCCTGAATGAAGCTGCATTTCGGAGAGCTGGTAGTCAATAGCAAGAGAGCTCCCGTCAGAAGACTCCCCCTTCACCTTCTCTTGAGCTTCAATCCATCCATGAAGAAGTTCACTGCCCTCACTCTACAGCGACTCCGTCAGACGTATATATGAGGAGAAAATGACAATAGAAATAGGTTCCATGAAACAATTTTTCAAGGTATAGGGGAGGCAGTCGAAGTGAGAGAGGAATTCGGAAAATCTTTTTTAAGGCTTCATTAAACAAACCTTCATTAAACAAAACTGTGAAATTTTAAAATTACTCAAGATGAGTTATATAAAACGTAGTTTTCTGGTAGTTTTACACAGCCCTAAATACCGTTCGATGTTCACACACTCATAAGCGACACCTAATTAGAAAAATATTCATTGACCTGAAGGGTTAACGATGCGATTGCCTCAATTATCGATTTAATGGACTGGTTCCATTTTGTAAGATTTCTGGAATTAGTTTTGTATACCACTCGCTCGAGATGAACCCCTAAAAAAGGTCAAGTGACCTATGAGTGGAGTTTTTTGATGTTATTTTGTTTCAAATTTCCGTTAGAGCTCTGCAATAACCGTCTGGCTATGCAATTTCCATTATTTACATTTCCGTTTAGATAAAATCGACCTCATTAGACATAAACAGACAATTTATCAAGTGATTATCTTCTTCGGCCATTTCAACCATTTTGTGGCAGAATTCCAGGCGAATAGGAAAATCTAGAGGCCTTGTTATTTGAACTTTGTATGGAAACAAGTTTAAGTCGTCAAGAATTATCCGTTGTAATGACCATCTGCTAGCTCCAAATTGTGCCGATAATTTGCAACTCGAAACTCTTGGATTTGACGATGCAAGAAACGCGATTGTTCCTTTCAAACGAGCATACAGTTCTGGTACGGTCTTCTTGCGGTACTTCCAGATTCGACAAACATGTTTAAAAATCTCGTAAAATCCCGTCTGAATACCCTTTGGACAGAAAAACTTAAATAATAGCCTATAAAATAAAAAAGTAAGTTGAGCAGTCGAAAAAGAAAAAAAAAAAAGTGATTACTGTTTTCTTTATTGCATGATTCGTAGGCTACCCTGTATATACCAATTGCCTTCCATAATGAAGGTGTTAAACTATATTAGGCAAATGTTACCAAAAATTATAATAGAAAATAGGATAAAAGTTGGTTCAAGATTACATGTAATGCCAATTACATAATGAGGGATGGAGTCTATTATGGAGAGTTTTATAATCGTCAACCTCGTAGATTTTCCCATACAGTTTAGTAAACTTCAAGCGGTTGAAAGTCGTAATTGCTTCATTAGCTCCTTATCGCCTTAAAACAATTCTTCTGAGTGATGAAGTCAGGAATAATACAAAGAGCTTGCCTTGTACTTCTCGTTGCTGGTACCCACCTTTACATATGTAAATAACTCTAAATTCGCTTACCAAGCTTGCGTTACGTGTTTATAAATACACTTTTCTTCATCTATTTGTGCGTTTTATCAGGGAATAATAATTTTCTTTTAAATCATTTCTTTGGTAATATATAAATATATTTTATTTTATTATATTTATATTTATATTTATATAATATCTAAATATATTTATGTAATCATTTGCCTCTAAAGCTTTCATGCTTCATTGTTTTTAGTCTCTAAAGAACCGTATCACACATCGACTGAGTGCACGTTCAGTGCATGTCGCGATGATTCAGGCTTACAATAAATGTTCCCTCTTCTATTTTTTTTTTTGCGTTACTTACCCTTCTCACATGTTTTGTCTTGGTTTTGCGGTTTGTAGTGGCATAATGTTCTAGAGATAATTAATAAATAAATATATTATAAAACAATTGGAAAATATCGGAATCTTCGGTCTGTTCTCTTTAATTGCCTTCTTCTAAATTGCGTCCATTAAGTGGTTTTTGTTACTTCCCTGCAACGCAAAGATAGGGGATTCTAGTTAAATTCCCATTCGATTTTTATGGAATAATCGACAAAACTATTTAAAACTGTTGTGTAGGTGTGATCGTAAATCCGACCATCCTTTTATCTATAACTCTTTAATGTATTGGGTTTGGGATGGTCGCCCGACTTCCTTGGCGGGTGGGTGAGAAGAGTAATAATGTTCGACATTATCAATTGTAACAAAATCGATAAAAAAAAAAATCGAAGTCACTTACCGGTGGGACGAGGAAGGTTTCGGGCCAAAGGGAGGTTTTAGTTAAGTGAGTTGGTATCTTTGGGTATGCAAAGCGATGAGTAATGTCATTCGGCGACTCATTGCATGCAGGACATTTGTTATGTATCTCATGTTGTATTTTAAATAATTAGCAATTTACCCAGCAATTTACCACAATAACCTGAACGAAGCTGCGCCAGAGTTACTCTGGTTTCACGCGGCAACTTAAGCTTTAAGCTTCTGACATGAGGTGTTGCTTCATTCTCCAGCATGACGCTGATTAAATTGCCCGCATTTATTGGAGCAACCAGGTGTGAACCGGCGGTGCGTTCTCGCTGTCATCGAACAGATTCAAAAACTATGTCTACTAGCTTAGTTGTGTGACTATGAGTGATGTTTGGACTGAAAGTACGATATTTACTTGTATGGAGTCAATGCAGGTTTTAATAACTTCTAAATGGTGTTCAGTACTTGGCGGATATTGGTGCCGTCCGAACTTTGGTCGGTATATTTTTTTAATTCATCGACGTGTTAGAGAAATGTTCTTCTGATGTTCTTCGGAAGCGGCAGGTAAATGCAATGATGGTTTCTGCAAAAACACTCTTGCAGAAATTGCTTGTATAGAAGAGAGTTATGATCCTTAACTGGAAGCACACTGCTTCGCTAATAAGATGTTCGATGGAAGACAATCTGTTATGGTCCGAAGTGCGGTAATCTGACAGAATTGTAACTTTTCCATCGCAGTCCTGCTGCTTCCAGGCGATTATATTGGACTGGCGTAGTTGATGACCGACCGGCCGATTAGCTTATATGTATGTCGCCAACAATGTCTCTTTGGTTTCGCCTCAAGTGGTTGTAACTTGCGAATTTTGCGGCTCTTTTCACGGATTTCCACTTTTGTTTATCGTCGTCCAATCTGTACTCTTACGTGCAGTTTGTAAATAGGGTGGCCGTGGATATGGCAAGGTGGAGTTTTAGACTTCTTGTAGGGTAGAAATGAGAAAGACGTTCATTTTTGAATCATTCTATTGCCCGACATCATTGTACTATAGTCATCTGCGTATGAGGTAATAGAAACTCCTGCTGGTGGTTGTAGGAGTGTTTCGAAATGTTGTGATTAAATTGTAACGGGATGAGGTCATCATCCTACGGAACCCTCTGTATAATGGTCCTGAAATTAGAATGTTGAGCTCAAAATAATATCGACCATTGACCACCGCTCAGTTCATGGTCCAGTCTTGGAGGAGCGTAGTTTGTTCAGAGTCCTTCAGACGCTGTTGAAAACCTTTCAAAAGTCCTACACTACGAGAACATTCGTCTTGCAGGAATCCAATGACGTCTAAGAATGGAGCGTGTGTACTAAATATAAAACATATTGAGATAATTTCTTTACTTCCTAGAAATGTTTACTGTGGACAAATTTCTCAAACTTCTTTGAAAAGTTTAGGTTGCGTAGACAAAAGCTGAAATATTAGTTGAAACACCAAAAAAAAACGGATTTATTTATTCTTATTCTGTTGTGTTCTTATAAGTCGTTTCGTTTTCGGCAAAACTGTCAACAGCTTAAGTGCCCTATAATTGATTAATTGCCACACACATAGAAAATCGTGATTTGGTGCTAATTAACTTTCATCGACGCATTCTGCGTTAATCCGCTCAGTTTGCATATTTAGATTTACTCTAAATCGATAAGACAAATAATTTATTGACTCGAAATTTATAGACAATCTCACGCATGCGCCGATGCTAACATGTTATTTAATTTTTTTCGATTATATGGTTTGTGGTTAGACGCATCTTTGAAGGTGGTAATTTAAACGATGCTTTAACAATACTAAATTAAAATTTGTCACGATTTACGATACAGAGACTGACAAAAAAAAAAAAAAAAATAATAATAAACACGCCTTTTGCGTGTGCGTTTCATTTTAATTATACTTTTCCTCAAAACATTTACATTCCTTTAAAAGAAATTGTTGCGAATTGAATTTACAAAAATCAATACTTGTTTCATACATTTAGTAAATACTTTCTTTCTTTCTTTTTGTTGATAACAGGTTTCTTAGAATTTCTTCTTGCACACAAGTCACAAATCTGCATGAAAACTGTTATTCAATTACATTAAGCCGATTACGCCGTTCGTGTGTACTTCACTCATATTGTGGTTGCGAATTCTTGTTTGTGTTGTTGTTGTCATGTTTGTCACAAACTGTCGTGTTTACGCTGCACGCTATAAAACCAATGGAGATTGATTACCCACATACACACTCATACGTATGTATGTATGTAAATATTTGGCCATTAACACCCCAAGTACAATGACCTTTACCATAATTTTCCTTACCATTTCAGGGTTTTTTAGGAATAAATACCATCTTACTATTTCTTCAATATACACTGAACCTCCAGCAGAATGAAAAAAAATCTCACAGCTCTAAAAAAATCTATATTTTTGCCGCCCCGGATATCTTAATCATGAATTTACGAATATAATTGTACCAATTATAGGCTTATTAGTAATAAAATTTATTTTTCCAGTCATGATTAGAATGCCGCGCCCCTGTTTGCGCACACAGGCTTCAAGCGATACTCTGTAATATCCAGTTTTACTCAATAAAAATCTCCTTTTGCATTTCAAAAGTAATTTGCATGCGCTCTGAAGCGATGATGTCGCAAAATTCCTATAAATCGGTACAATCTTATTAAATTAATATTTTTAAATTTTATTAAATTATAGGAAATACAATTTCGTTTCCATGTTTTTGGTTTGCATTAGCAATAGTGCTTCATAATTTTCTGAGGTGAACTCTGCCATCATATGACGAGTGTAAATGAAGCTTTAAGATTTGGAAATGAACTTTGTGAATATTTATAAACATGTACATATAAATAAATATAAAACGATTTATTCCCTTTTAGATATTTTTGTTTTAAAATAACTTAAATTTAAAATATAATGTTTAATATCCTAGCTATTACGGAGTACGAACAAATTGGCTAAACTTACAGAAAATGAAGTTGAAATATTAAATTGAATTCATCTATAAATACCTTTCGATGTTTTTCTGGATGCATTCAGTTTTTGGTTAACTAGGTTTAAAATTTCAATTTCTACTTCATCAACTTCACTCTCAGTTAGTTTATCCAATTTGTTCCCAAGCATACCGAAGAAATGTTCATATTTGTTATTGTTTGAGGTTTGTGGTCCTTCATATTTCCTCTTCATTGCTTTTAGCACATCATTAAAGAGATCATCGTTGCAACGTTTTTGTTTAGTTGTGGTGCGTAATATCTGTTCATCTACTAACAGTTCTGTTGTGTCCATTTTAGCGTTAGTGTTTGTACTGAAAATTAAAAATTTACATTTTTCATTATTTTTTACAAATGTATGTTTGCAAACAAAGTTTCGTCATACCTGATAGGATCCATAGTTTCCGTCAAAAACTCTAAACTCTCCATATACTTCCAAGTGTGTCCTGATCCGGACGGTTGATCTTCAGAAAGTTTCATCTTTCTGTATTTGTCGCGCAGACTCTTCCACTTTACTTTACAATTTCTTGCTAAAAATCGAAAATATTTTATTAGATACTTCTAATTATGTACATATATTTTTGATTAACTTACCCGAAAGATTAACTTGATTGGCGATTTCTTGCCAAACCCGCTCTTTATGTTTAAAGTCTTTATATTTTTCGTCTCTTTTATCGTAGAGGCAGGGGTTGATTTCTACCATTTCTATTATTTTCTCAAAATTCTAAAAGTAGTGCAAAATTAAATTAAATATAAAAGTAAACAATTTAATAATAATGCTTACATCCATTTTTACAAGCATTTGTTTCAGAGATTATACCTTATTTGTTTTCTGCAGCTAACACACTGTCAAATCGAGTTTTCAACCGCTCGGCGTTACCGCAGCGTTTATTTGGGTATGCGCCGTACAAAATCCACATATTGGCATGAAAAATGTTGGACAGTGATAAGCCGTTGCAGCTTTTATTTAAGGACGGCAGTTATACAATACAATTAAAAAAAAATTTAAAATAATTGTTTCCGGATGCTGCTGAGAAAATATAAGATTTCTTAATGAAAGTAATAAAGTTCTTGCCTTGACGGTCTGCTACATTTCCCTCTTCCCCTTCATCTGTGATCTACCTTAGGGTATTATATTCGCAAAACGTATTTGTTAAAATTTGTATAAAAAATTAAAAATTTATGTTTTGCCGTTCGTTCATTACATAATCCGCAAATTTGTGAATGATTTGATTGTTTCTTCATCCTTTTTGCTAATAATATGAAATTATTCCTTCGTTAACATTTTGGATTTTATTTGACTTTCGCAAAACCTAACTTTTGCGAAGGTGGCAAATTTTAATAGTTTTACTATGCTAGACAAGTTTTTTTTTATCATATTATGTAAAATCATTGAAAGTAACATATATAATTTAAAAATCATGAAATGAATAAACATTTGAAAATGATTTGCACAATAACTAACCTCAAAACTTAAAATGAAATATCTTTAGCATAATATGGCAATGTTAACCTTACCCGCGAACTGCCAGCTGTTTGACCGTGAAATATCAATAAAAATAAATAAAACATCACCTTTGGTAAAAGGCAATTAAAAGGATATTGAACACACATATGGAAGGGGTTGTTGAATGAATCCTACTAAAATTGGAAATTGTGTATACAAGAACAAAGAATCACCCACCTGTTTTACTCCTTGCTAATACCTTGTGAATTTAATTTTGTGAAATACGTAGAACGCACTTCGCTTACTTCGATTTTTCAAAAGAAAAACTTTGACATCGAAATAACCAGAAAATTGCTGTCAATAGCGTAGCAGTATCCAATAAGTGCACACGTCCCTGGGTGAACCGAGTCCTACAGTAAGGGCGTTGGTGACCACGGTCACGGCACTGTTGTGGTCACAGCAACGCGTCGTTGTTGTTTATAATTTTCAAACAAATCAATTACCACCAAATAGCCAACAAGAGTGTTGACGTGAATTTTCATTTGCAGATTAAAGTCCTGCAAGAAAAGTGCTAAAACTATAAATAAATTTATAAACGAAAAATATTTGCTCTTAGCTGTTATATTTCATTTTAAATCCAGTTGAAAGAAGAAATAAAATACTTGAGAATGGATCACAGTCCGTCAAACGCTACTTTGCCGGGTAAGCGCCAGCATCCGTCTACAATGCAGCGTAAAAAATCCGGCCCCAAATTTGAGCTTTCCGAAGCACAAAAAGCCGACATTAAGGAGGCTTTCGATCTATTCGATACGGAGTGTACCGGTTTTATAGAGGTCAAGGAGCTGAAGGTTGCAATTCGCGCGCTTGGTTTTGAGCCGAAGAAAGAGGAAATCAAACGAATGATTGCCGAAATCGATAAAGATGGCACTGGACGCATATCATTCAATGACTTCCTACAACTAATGACCATGAAAATGGCTGAGAAGGACACCAAGGAGGAAATATTGAAAGCATTTCGCCTGTTCGATGACGACGATACTGGTTCGATTTCCTTTAAAAATCTAAAACGCGTTGCACGCGAATTGGGCGAAACGCTGACTGATGAAGAGTTGCGTGAAATGATTGATGAAGCTGATTTAGATCATGATGGTGTGGTGAATCAGGATGAATTTTTGCGCATCATGAAAAAGACAAGTCTATATTAGTTGTATGTTTGTGGTTGTAGCGTGGCATCAAATTGTGCTGTGCGTTGTTTATAATGGTCATAATGACTAGGCGGAAGGGTATACTATGTGTTTTATTCTATTTTTAATTTTTGGTTCTGTATATTAAATATTTCACAATTTGTATTTTATTTCCACAAATCTGAAATCTTTATGTTATCATGATTTAATTTTAACTTATAAGGAAGGATGCCATTCATACGTACAAATAATATAATAATAACTTTGAAATAGCTCTGCTGGACTTACATCTACATATATACAAAACTATTACTAAGTGTTTTTTCTTATTGCTTTGTTAAAATGCTTTATTTCTCTATTAAATATGAACTTGTGCATATTGCAGATGATTGAGAAAGTTTGTGTACTTTTAATTTAATTTATAGTACAAAATTGTGTATACAATATTTTTAAGCGCGATTCAGTTTTTTAAAGGTTGTTGCAAATCCTGTATTTAACTGCATTTACTTAAAGAGTACAGCGAAATAATTGTTTAACGATGTTGAAATTAATTTGAATATTTCATTATGTGTAAAAGTGCCCTCCGCCAAAAAAAAAAAAACAAATAAAATAAAACAAAGAAAAATGGCACGTTACTAGAGTATTAGAACGCGCTTCAAATTTAAAGTTCAATTAAGCACTAAAATGCAGAAGCTTTCGATTACCATGCTTTAAAAATGTTTGTGAAATGCTGTGCTTAAGTGTAAGCTTTTGTAATAGACGAATATTCATAAAAATGCACGGTACTTGAGAACTTCTTTCTGTCGAAAATTGCTTTCTGCCAGTATTTATTATTTAAGAATTAAGTATTTTTATGCACTTTTACAGAATAAAATATTAATTCATGATTTAAGATGTACAAAACATGAATAAAACAATCACAAAAACGTTTTAAAATTGCGTAATTTTATTTAGTGACTATATTTTAGAAAAAATCTTCGAACAATAGTACGGAAATTAGATTGTTTAAAGGTGAATTCTCACTGGGTCGTATATGATTTTCCACCATCCTCTGAACTTATAGAACGAAAGCTAATGATTTGATCATTTTAGAGAAACTGTACTACTTTTCACCTTTTCTGTGTGTGTGAAATAGAGCGCTTTTAACACAACCAAACTAAACTAACTAACTAACTAAAAACACGAATTATTTTAAAGCTGAGTTTGACTATAAAATATTAATTTTATTTCCAACTCAAACTTGAAACACTTGATTTCACTGATCAATTAAATGCGCGTCCAGTTTTGGAAGTTTTATGCGTTTATCACTTATACTGAAATCACCTGCCTCCTTTACTTTTCCAGTCGCTTTTGTGCTGTAAACAAAACATTATTAACTTTCACAGCCTTTTACCGAATTAGATGCTTTTACTTACATTGCTTTCAATACTTCTATTTTGGGTATATTTTTGGTATATGCCTTCACTCCTGCAGCCTCTAATTCGGCTAGTTCCTTTGGATGCAAGTGCTTTTTATGATAACGACAGCTTGAACCGGTCGAAAATGTTTTATCGCAGAAATTACAGGAAAATGGCTTGAGACCAGTGTGCGTTATCAGGTGACCTTTCAAATTCTTTGTACGTTTAAATCTGCGTCCACAATAATCACATTTATACGGCATTTCATTCGAATGCACTCTACTGTGTAATTTCAGTGCTTTGGACGTCGTCAGTTCCAAGCCACATTCCCCACAAACGTGTTTATCACCATGAATTTCCGCGTGCCTCTGTAAATATGCACATAATAATAAAATATACAAAGCAACATAAAATATTTCAGTACCTTTAAATAAAATTTTCGCGCAAAGCATTTGCCGCATTCTTTACACTCGAATGCGCCACGGCCTGTGTGTATGGCCATATGTTCCAGCAGCTTCTCTTTCGTCCGCACACTTTCGCCGCACTCTTCACAAATAAGGGAACCTTCACCTTCGTGTTCTGCTTTGATGTGATTTTCGGCGTCTTTGGCTCTTTTAAATTTTCGCTCACAATGTGGGCAAGGATAAATCTTCGGCGCGTGCATTTTCCTAAAATGTCGTTGCAACTCCTTTTTGTATTTGAAGAAACTTGAACAGCTCGTACATTGGTGTGGTGTTTCTGTGCCGTGTTTATTCTTCATATGCCATACATAGTTTCTGTATTGAATAAAGCGCTGGTTGCAGATATCACAGACGTAACTGCCCTCGTTTTGGTCATTATCGCAGGCAGAAGTACTATTTGAACTCAGTTTGGCATTTGTGCTCTGCATATGTAGCGTTTTCTTTTTCGCTATACGATATTCAGTGTCAGAAGAAAATGTATGGCTGCTACTAGCACTACTGTCACTGTCTTCACTTGTTTCGGCATGCGCTTCCACATTTCTTGAAGCATTTCGGGCGAAGGGATCTGTATATTCTACTTTGATTTCAGCTTCGAGATTTTTTACTATTGCCGGCGTCTCTTCCACTTCTTCATCTTTAATTTTTAATATTGGGACATGCGTTACGAATATTTGCTCGATTGCAGTTGGCCCTGTGGGATTAACTGTTTCAGCCAAAGTGTGCTGCATATACGGTTCCAATTTGAATATGCCATATTTCTCATATATGTCCTTGATATCAGTAATTGTAGTGTTAGCTGAACCCAGCAAATCATAATACATTGCTTGCACCTTTGAAATATGATCCGCAAAATTTTTTATGTAGTTGATGAAAGTGAAGCATTCTGCACACAATAATACTGGAAGCTCGTCACTTGGTTTTATCTGTGGAAGTAATATACTAGATCGGGTAATATTTTATCTTAAATCAAATATAGTTACTTGTATATGAAAGAATTTGTTTATGGCATCGTCAAGGTGTTGTTGAGAAGATATTGGTTGTAGCTCTTCAATGAAAATATCAAAATAGTGGCCGTCATATTTGGCGCATAAACGACACCAGCGCTGCCATTCCTTTTTTGTTGCATCGTTTGTACACGCCTTGGCAATATGTTCTCTAGACATTATTATTAAAACGCCAACAAATTTATTATGTTTATTATTTTATGTTTACAGGAATACTACTTTCGCATTAACACTGTATTTATTGTAGAAAATGAAAGGAAAGAAAAGTTAAAACTAATTAGTATAAATAAAGCTGGCTACCAACGTTTGTTATATTCGTCGGTTTTTGTCGTAGGACTTCGGCAGTAAAACTGGAGATATTAGTTTCTTTTCGAATTTTTATGATATAAATATATTTTATAATAATCATAACTTTGGAAGTTATGTGAAAATCGTTGCAGCGAAATAAAAAATTATGAAAAATTAAAACGAATATGTAATAAATGGTTTGTAGCTAATATTATGGCAAACTCACCCTACGTGTAGCACATGACTTTTTTCGATGGTGAATTTCTGTGACAGTTGCATTGGGTAATAAAAAAAATAAGAAAATGTAATTTTTTTAGTATAATTAATAATTTTAGATAAATCAATCAATAGCTATCCTATTAGCAAATAAAATAATAAGTCATCCTATAACCACAAATTTTAGCCTTCTATATGTTATCATTTCAAATTGACCAGCCAGCCATTGTGAATGTGTTAACCTTGCTACTTCTCAAGACTTAAAAATTTGAATAACGGTTTGAATTGTGCATATTTTTATACACTGAATAGGGTATATTAACTTTGAGTGAAGTTTGTAACAAGAAAGCGTCAGAGACCCCATAAAATATACATATGTATAAAGTGGCTCAAACGCGAAATGGAACTCTGCTGAGGAAAGTCCGTTTAACTTGAAGGGTATTGTAGATATAGATACAGCGCGTTAACCCGTTTTTCTTGTTTTTTATAGATTAAAAAATTAATTCTTTCGAAAATTGCATGCGCTCCTGTCATTAGAAATCCATGATGAAATGTTTTACCAAAATTATCGAGTAGAGGAAATGTGGCTCAAATGTTAAAGCGAATTATGCCGAATACTGATAGTTAGTAAGAATGTGTCGAAATGCTGACAAATGAAAGTGAAATTTAGACATTTTTTTGCAGTAAATCCGAGTGCCAGAGTTAGGGTGATGCAGCTCAATGGTTAGATAATCGAAAATTCTCGTGTTTACTGACAGCAGTTTGAACCCTTATCCCCTAGACAAACAGTGGGACCAACATTAGGTACTCACTAAGACGTACTGCCGATATTCGACTTAATTTAAAACACATGTAGGTACGTGTATTGACTTCATATGAGCATTAAGAGCCAGAAATTCGATACTATCACCAACTCTCTTCCAAGGATGATTCTCTTGTGGGAGTGGGGTTCTATTATATACATATGTATATATATATAAATGTTTAAATTATATAAATATTAATTTATAAGCTATGTATTCCAGGCATTCCTACCTGATTATAAAATAATTTTGCCCAGTTTCCATAAAATCTCAAACAATTTGAATATACAGGGTGTTTTGAAATTCCTTTTATTTATTTCTTCAAACAAAAATTATTACAGGTTCTAATACAATTCGTCACATTAAACGCTAGATTCGTCTGCTAATGAAATTCTTTTTTTAATTTCTTCGCTACGGAAAGCTGAAAATTTTATAATTAAAAAATTCTAATTAAAACTAATTATGAAAAACATATAAATATACACATATGTATATAGTTACAACTGCGTACTATATTAAATAATAATTTAACTGTAAGTAATTATAAAATTATATTTAGTGAACAGGAAACACATAGTAAATTGCCTTATACTTAACAAATCCATGATTTTTACTAAAAAAAAAATAGTAAACGCTTAACGAAAATACCATAAAAAATACCTAAAAATTACACAAAACATGGAAATGAACGATTGAGAAATGTACTCGAAAATTAACAAAAATTGTATAAAACTTTTAAGTTCAGATCCTAAGAAATTTTACCGTTAACTTAAGCTACAAAAAATAACACAAACAAATGTCAACTTAACATAATTTCTTATGTTAACACAACGCATAACGGTATGCTATTTTATATGGATGTTTGTAGATCACTTCGGCGCGCGGTTTTAATATTCACGCAAGTTCCAACTCGCTCTCGCTTCTCCTATGATTCCGCGAGCACTTCGTTGTTTATTGGTTACGCTATGCATTCTCTTCCTCTCCTTAGAAGTTCCAGACTTCGCTCCATTCTCCCACGTTTCACACAAATGGCCCAGCAAAGTAGATTTTTCGCTTGCTCGGCAGTGGCTTAGTGCTCAAGCCAGAACCCTCGATAAATTTCTCAAAGTTGGCTAAATTCTTCTTAATTTTCTTTGCCTTGGCATGGTTATGCGCAATCCCAGGCGAGAGCGCCACTAGCGGCGAGCTTTCACCGAACATGGGAAAGTTCACAGCGTCACAAATGGCAGCATTTAAAGCGGCGACATTGTCGAGTTTTTTAGGCTCAGCACGTTGTGTTGAGAGTTTTATATTTGTCGGCAGTGGTTTCGACGTATCCACGACACTTATTTCACTTTTCTCCTCGACACTCTCATTGTCCTGCTCACTGTTGTTGGCGTTTAGTTCCTCCGGTTTATCACTGATGAGCGAGAATTCCTCATCCAAGTTGTATTCGTCCGCTGCTGTGACCAAACTCTCACCATCTTCGTGTATGCCGGCGAGCATAGTGCCGTTGGTGAGCGAGTCGCTCACCTTGTGTAATTCGGGTTGTTGTGAGGCGGTCTTGCCATACTCGGCATCCAAATTGTACCAATCGAACTCTGCTTGAATGGGCATATTCGGCGTAGTGCTGACGCCAAGCTGCAGCGGCGATTTGTTTGCCGCCACCGTCTTGGCAGGAGCGGCGAAGTTCAGTCGTGCCGTTGGTGTTGTTGGTGAACTGGGTAAGCTCATGCGCTTATTTATTTCGGCGAGTATGTTCGGCATATGTTTGCGTTTGTATTGCAGCGGACTGGGCGTGTGTAAGTGCAGTTTAAGAGCGCTAGTATCCGGACGATTGGGAGACTTTATGGGTGTGCTCACCGCGGTTTTGGCAATGGACTTAGGTGTGCCATCCAAATTGTTAGAGGTGATCTGTTGCTTTGTGGCTGTGACCGTATTTAATATGGTGGCATTACGCGCATTTTGCAACTTCATATTAGGCGTTTCTACCTTGGGTGACATCACAAGGTAATCTGGGGAGGGCAAGTTGTGCTTTTGTGTCGGCTGTTGTTGTGTCATTTTCGTCTGTTTTGGCGCTATAATGGCCGCCACATTTGGTAGCTTTGGTACGTCGGCGAAAATCTCGTCGATTTCATCAGTCTTTTGTGAGACAGCGAATGTCTCATCAGAGGCGACTGTCGATACTTCGACGTCGAGTTCGGAGATGGGCGCTTCAAGCGCAGAGTTCGACTCTAAATCAGCTTCCGATTCAGGTGCCTTGTGTATATCGGCAACTATTTGCACACTCGTTATGCCCATATTCACCTCCGAAATGGAACAGTAGTCCGGCTCAACTACGGCATGGCCTTCCTGGTGTAGATGCTCGTCAGGCAACTCATCTAGTTGTTGTAGTGATTTTTTAAACTTCAATAGATTTGCTGGTTTCGGTGGCAAGGCTGGCGGTGTTTTTGGTACTTTTGTATCTACGACTGCTGTAGTGCTGGTAGCATTAAGCGCGGCCGACTTGGTTGCGGACTCCATGTCCACATAAAGATTTGAGGAATTATGCTCCGATCCAATCGGTTCGTATTCGTTGCTATAAATACTCTCGTAGTTTAGCGTTTCGAGCCGTTCATGCTCGCTGACTTCGGCAAGCATGCCGCCTCGTGCAATGGTGCCGGCTGCGACGGCGGCTGCTTTAGCGGTTGCTGCTTGCTGTGCAGCTTGTGGGTAGTAACTCATTGGATGATATTGCGCTAGGCTTGAGATCATGGCTTCGTTTGTATCTTGCGTGTCCTGTGTGGTGTCGTCGTCAATGGCATCTTCGTCCTCCTCGTCATGCTCATCGTTGCGTGGCACATGCACCATGCTATTCTTGGTCGAGAAATGTACACGCTTCCGTGTCAGAGTGCCATTACGAGACGGCTGTCCATCGCTGGAACGGCTATTGCTACGTGAACTACGGCGTCCACTCAGCGAGCTGCGACGTGGCAAGTTGGCGGTGGAGGTGGCATTGCTGTAGTTAACCTGAAGATTTTGAGCTGTCGCTTTGTTATTTCGCTCGGCTACCGGCTCTTCCATGGACTGTTGCAATAATATTTGATTAACGCATTCGAGCACCGGGTTGACCGCACCATTGGCATATGATTTGGGCACCACTGCAGTTGTTGTGATTTCCTCTTGATCGGAAGCACTAGCATACCAGTCGTCGGTGGAGGTCTCGTAGACTTGTTTCGGCGAAGCCTCAGAAAATTCGGTGGAGCGTCGCATCACAATCTTAATACTGCGTCCACCGACTTCTTCTGGTTCTTCGAAGTCATCATCCTGTGTGGGTGAAAATATGCCGTCGTCTTCTTCGATTTGCGGTGTCGGTGTTTTGGCGTTATGCTTACTGCAACTACTGTTGCTGCTCTTACTGCTCTTACTGCTTTTACTGCTAACACTACTCTTGCAGCTCAGTTGTGAAGCCGGTCGTACCGTACTCTCCATACCACTTTGCTCCGACTCGCGCTCACTTTCGCCCTTCACGCCGTGCATACGTTCGATGGTGCGCGAATACATATTGAGCTTTTCATAGCTGGTTTGCGAGTCATCGCGACTGATTGTGCTCGCATTCTCCTCCGAATTATTGTCCAACGCCGGATCGTCGATATTCATCGCACGCGAGCGCATATAATCGCGGAAAGTGCCGGAGGTGCGTTTGCTGGTGTAGCGTACACTGCGCCGGGCTCCGTAAAACGACGATGAGACTGTATCATCACTCGATGAGCCGTGCTCAGTGGTGTGGTCAACTAGCGGGATAGAAATCAAATTATAGCATTTTAACAATACTAAAAAATCCATGTCCATACTCACCACTTTTTCTTGTACCATCCTTTGACGTATTCTGTGTCCAGCCCTCATTTAGATCAATGTCATAGAATTGCTTCTTGCAATTAATGCATTGCAAAGCTTCGAGTACCAAACAGTCTTCCAGCAATTGTTGGTCGCTGTACGCCGCAGGTGACGCAGTACGACGCCCCAGCACAGCTTCCTTCGTTTTTCCGCTACGCTCTTCTTCTACCTCACCCTCTGTCTCCGGTTCGCCATCCTCAACCACACCTTCGTCTCGCGCATTCTCACCCTCCGCTTCGGTGTATTTCGTCAGCCGCTTACGCAATGCGCGGTTCTGTTGCACCAAACGACAGATTTCCACATCTTTCTCGAAGAGCCGCTGATTGACCGCTTTCATATCCTTTTTCAGCTTCGACTCGAAGCACAGTAGTGATTTCGCCACGCAGGCGAGCTCTTCGCCGCGGCGTCGTTTCTCCTTGGCCAGTTCGCGTTGCAACAGCTTCGTCTGCTGTTCATAATGTGAGATCATTGCGATGAGCTTGCGTCGTTGCGCGCGCTCCGGCGTTAGCTGTAGCGTACTGGTGGCATCCGTGCTTAATTCGGCAGTATTGGCGGTTGGCGACGTTTTTCGCCGTTCGCACAGCTGTGCGCAATCGCCGGACGATGAGGCGGATGATGTGCGTTGCAGGTCGATTGATTTCAGTGAGACCGAGGCGTCCTTCGAGGAGAGTGTCGATGAGGCGGATGAGTTGTTCGACGAGGAGTAGTCGGAAACCTGCGTGAAACGAGAGAGCACAATTGCCATTCATTAAAGTAAGTATCATAGTGTAAACTTTGTAACATTATATCTAGGAAATAATAACAGGTGGCCTGACGCTGTTTAGGGATCAACATAACTACAGTACTACATATAAATAAATGCACTTTTTATTGCTTGCTTCATTATTATTAATATCTATTGTTGACATAGAACCCGCCAATAACCCTGACTATCCGTCAGAATATGCCTTGCTCTGTCATACCTTCACATCTCCTTGGTATTGCCCACAGCGGCCAGCGAGAATGTAAACACATGGCCTGAGTGCATGATGCCTCTTATCAGCGTTAGTAGTGGGCAATACGCGGGCCAAATTGCTTTTGTGCGCCCACGCTGCATTTTATCGGGAAAATCAGATTAATTCGCACCGGAGGTGTAAGTGATTTATTTATGGCGCTTTTAAGTATGTACTATATACAATATTTGCTGTCACTCATTAATGCTTGAGTGCTTGTTCCGATTATCAATACTGCTCCAAATATTTATATTCCCACATATATAATACTGGAAATATACTCGTAATGAAATATTTGTTATTGCAGACATATGTTGTCATTTATATTAATAGTTCTGTCACACGATTGGAGCATGTGAAATCTTATCGAACTGAGAACTGTTGCATTGAAACACCCACATGTACAAATATTTGAATAACTTGGTGTTGTTTATTTTGACAACGATGTAGACTGTCAAGTATTTAATTTTCATATAATAAATTTAACTGAAAGAGTCTTTCGGGAATGAACCTTAATCCTAGTCCTAGTACCTAGTCTTCGCACCACACACATCTTTGATGACTCGGAATTATGGCAAAAACTGGGAGAGAGAGGGAAGGTTTGATGCATCCACCATATAGCTCTGATCTTGCACCATCGAACTATCATTTGTTTCGATCAATGCAGAACTTCCTTAATGGAGTAAAATTGACTTCAAGAGAAGTCTGTGAAAATTACTTGTCGCCGAGAAATCAGAAAAGTTTTAAACTAACGAAGTAATGCCTCTAGCGGAAAAATGACAAAAAGTGGTCGACCAAATTGGTACATATTTGGTCCATTAAAGTTCATTATAAAAAACAAAAAAAAAAAAGTTGAATTTTGATTAGAAATACGAAAAGACTTTTTCGACTACCCAATTTAAAAGGCATCTTAGATTTCTATATATTGTCATAAAAAACCAAAGTGCACAGAACGAAAATAAACTTGAAAAAAAAAACGACTCCCTCAAAAGTTGTAAGAAATTTTTTAGTACTTCTGGGAATCTATACAGTCGTAAACCGAAGTCAAAGCATAACGCTGTTCCCGCGAGAGTATGGTCTAGGGATCTTAAATTCTTCTTTTATAATTCCCGGAAGTTACAACAAAAACCCACGGGGTATAACCACAGAAATATACTATATATTAGTAAATATATATGCATTTGATGATATTTGATATTACCTAATATATGATATTTGATAGCTTAGAGATGTTAAAAAGCCTCAGAACGACTTATGAATGTTATAACGAACTTTATTCGGATAAAAATGCATTCCGTGGTTTACAAATACCTGCAGAGACTTGACTGCTTTTAGCAAAAACTTTTCACGCTGATTGGAAAGTTATAACGGTATAAGTTGGGGCTGCTATCCAAAGGATAGCTAAGGATGGATTCGTTATAATACCATGTGTATATGTGTGTATTAATCATACATACCACCAATAGTTTGGGCATTTCTTATTATTGCAGGAAAAACCTCAACTCTACTAAAATCCGTCATTTGGTAGAAAGATCGTTTGAGTAAAGTATAACAAGTAGTAAGGCATACATGAGCAAGAACAATAGTTTCATGGCTTGTTCAATAAATCCAAAGTTTTTCTTAGTTTGGTACAACCTTGTTTCATGTTCGTGGGAATTTTGATCTCTTTACGTCAATTAGTTTGTGTTTGTCAGATGTTTGCTTACGATGCCAAAACTTCGTCTGATAATTTTTACATATTGGATCCCTGGACTCGCGGGTATTTTAATTCCGAAAACAAAAAAAATGTTATAGGGATTTTCCGGAAACCAAAAATAGTTACAGGACATTTCTATTCTGTCTGCTAACCGGTTCATATACAGTCCGGGTCAAATTTTACCTTACTCAAAATTGTTTGACTTGATTTTTTAAGTATATAACTTGAACGAAATGTCTAAAGAATTCTGTCAAATAGTTTGTTAATTTGTTCTTTACTTGGGTTTTAAGAGCAAAACAAAACGAATTGGAAGTTTGGTGATTTTCGAAGACATTTTATGCCATTGCAGATATCAAATGCCTCGCTAATTGCACTACAAGTGAAAGTGATTTATATTGATTATTAGAGATCTACCTAAAGAGTTGGCTTAAAAGCCAGTACGTTTACGACAGGGCGGACCCCAAAACCGGTCTCAGCCTGTTTTAAACGATTGTAGAATATGTTGGTGTCGAATGAATTCAGAACAGGCCTAACTGATCGAAGAAGAAATGCCAAAAGCAAGGCACCAGGAAAACAATGCAACACTATGGATAAGTGACAGCACGCCATCTGGTATCGCTAAGGGCCAAAATTTGTCTATGCTTGGCTTATTTAGCGTATCAGATTAAACTAACCTAATCTAACTTATTATTATAATATATCAATCAATATGTGATTTAGGAACTCATGATCCCTCATCTAATGATTTCGCAAAAATTTTTTCTTTCTATGAACATAGCGAGAGAAGAGTTAGTACAACTTTTGAAATATGCCAGAACTCAATAAGTAAATTAGAGTAATTAGAGCAATAAGTAAATTGATTTCTAGCAGTAAATAGAGCAACATACATATAATATCTCATATGTACAGCTGATTCCCACTTTCAATTAAAGACGTCGGAGATCTTATAAAATATGCATACATATATCTAAATGACCGGCATGATGAGCTGAGTCGATTTCGCTCCGTTTGTCCGTCTGTCTGTATGTACGCGGAAGAGTCACTGATTATCAATCTGAAATTTTTCTTTTGTCCCCAAAAAGCTACTCATTTGTCGAAACTGCCGAAATCGGACAACGGACCACTATAATATAAATAAACGATCGGTAGCAAGTACTTGTATGGGAAAAATTTTTTCATTTGACGAGATATTTTCACCAAACTTTTCATGGGTTATTGTTCAAGTCAAAGGTGAAATCTCCAAAGAAATTGTTCAGATCGGATCACTTTCGTATATACCATACATAGCTGGCATACAAACTGATCGATCATAATTAAGTCCTTGTATGGAAAATTTTTTTATTTGACAAGTTTACTTCACAAAATTTGAGGTAGAATATTTTCCAAACTGACCGATTGAAATCAAGCTCTTGTAAAGAATTTTTTGTGTATGTGAAGGAAATTAAAGCTTTGGTGCAACCAAAGTTAACAATTTTTTTTAGTTAGCCTGTAAAAGATGCTCAACAATGCACTTTTGTTCTAAAAATAGACCCAAATTGATGGTGAAATTAGACGACCAACTCAAAGTAGTATTGACTAAAAATGTCTGGCCTAACATTCAACACAGTATAAGCACTTCAAATAAATACAAAAAATGCTTAAAAGAGTCAGTAAGTCGACTCGCCATCAGTCCTTCCCTTCTTGCTCAAATGCTTATTCCGTATTTGTTTATTTGCATTGACTTTCTTCCTTACTTTTCCATGCAGCTGGCCTTTCGTTATCACCAAAAACTATTACTTTTCAAAATTAAAAAAACACTTTGCAAAAAAGAATTTTCATTTAAAGTTATTATTTTAGCACTTCAATTAACACAATGTCTCTAAAAATGCTTTGGGAATTAGACAAACAGCAGACACTTGTCACTTTCGTCAAATTTACTCACATGCGACAGCCAATGTAACTTCATGTTTGTTTTAATGTCTGGTAATATTATTAAACAATTTATAATTCACAAAATTACTAGACGTCATAGTAAAAGCAACACATGCGCCGATAAATATACTATATATAAACAATAGTCGGCGCTGACGGCGAGCGAAATACTGAAAGCGAGTGAAACCTTCAAAGCAATATCAGTGCTGGTGATCTGGGAATGCAGCGCCAGCAGGCGGCAAACGCTGCGACAAAATCTGATAAGGCACACAGACACCACACACACAGTGTATGCATTTGTATATGTGTGTGTATGCATGTGTTTGTGCGTGCTTTCGCTTTGAAACTAAGTCATTGTCAATATTCGCTGATGGCTGATAAGCGCCTGTGATAAGCAACCAAGCTACAGGGCGCGAGTAACGGGCATTGTGAAATTCGCTTTTTTGTTGTTATTGTTACTTTTTTGTTTTGTTGATGTCACGACTTTTACAGCAGCAACCAAAGTTTTTTTTTTTTAATAAAAATAAACCCAAAGCGTATAACGGTCAAGCAAAGTCAAGCGTGACGTTTCAGTCGGCGTGTGTAGTGACAGTGCGAAAGCCAACGGCAAATAATTTAATAAATTCAAATCAGTGTGCTCGACTGAGTAATAACACCATAAATGCATTGCAGTGACCGCTACTGTGCGAAGGTGTCAAAATTTACACACACAGTCATGCATGCTTTGTGAATATTTGTGTATATGTTTGAGCAAATATTTGTGTGTGACAATTTGTTATTTATGATGTTTTTATATTTTTGGCATTACCACCGTGCAGTTTGTGTAAATTTGGCGTTATCGCTGCGCTAATGAAGTTATTAACGCTTGAATGTGAAAAAATTGTAAATATTTTCGATTTGAAAGTATTTTTTGGCTACCGTATAAGTGCGAAACGGCGATGTGCCCGAATCATGCAAATAATTAATTTGGCAGCTGGGAGCCTTTTGTTGAAATGTAATTAGTGATAATGAAATATATTAATTATTGCTGTGATTTATTAAGAAACGTTTTTAAAAAATGCTAAAAAAATATTTAAAATAATTTT